AATTACTTTTTCTTTTACAAACTTAAGTCTTAAGTGTTCAATTCTTATTTCTTATCTTATTAGACCACTTCGAGCCTTGAACTAAGTCTAAAAGGACTATATATACTTGATTAACATTGCACATATCAAAAATCATATCAATAGCCCATTTTGGCCTCTCAAAGCCACATTACACAATTGTGGTCTTATATGAGGAATATACATATATAACACATAATAACATACACAACTAGATTTGTTCTACTTTCAACCTTCCTACTCTTACATATGAGGCTTTGCCTCACCGTATGGTCAAAAATTACAAATGCACTCGACTCTTCTAAAAGAGGCTTCATCTCACCATTTGTGTCAAGTGCTCACATAACAATACAAGTCACATTCAATTCACATCAACATATAATCATCATATAATCACATAGTAGAACAAATTACAACACAACATATACTTGTTTGATTCACATTTAAGCCTATCCATGTACCCTCCATTGAGGCACCCTCGGCATAATGCAACTTTATATATACAAGCAAGATTTACCTCATAATTCAACATACAATCACTTATGCATCCTAGTTGACAACTCAAACTCTATAAACAAATTTATACATTCATTTCATTTAATAGTAGTCATACCACTACCAACTAAAGCTACTCTTACCTTGACTTCCTTTCCCAGCCTTCTCATGCTCTCTTTACCTGTGTTTAAAAGTAATAGAGTGAGACATACATTCCAGTAGCTTGGAGGTAACCCTAATTATCGATTAGTAAGAAAAACCATAAACAAGCGATAAAGTAACATGTATATCAATAAAAATAATATTATATGCATATACAAAAATTCATTCTCATCAATGTTGTTATGCTCATGTAATGCATTCCTAGTTTCTCCTGGTAGAGTAATCTCTATATCTGAACTAGAACTTTCAGTCATAAGGAACAAAGCCCACCATACCACTGCTCAAATCAGGCAATCCTCTTTACGTATGGGTGGTCTCCTAAGTCTATCATAGTGGAGTCAAGCTCTACGCTCTAGATCATCAAGACTTCCTAACCTTATACAGAGTAGGACCATAACCCCCTACCTTAATCTAGAGTAACCTCATGGATCATTCTATATCCTAAGTCTATTGTGATGAAGTCAAGTTCTATGCTCTAGATCATCAGGACTTCTTCTCCTAGCTTTGTCCCGGCGGAGTCAAGCTCTACACTCTGGATGATCAAAACTTTCTGGACCTCCTCACAGTAAGGCCACACCACCCTACCATAATCCAAGATATATCTCATGACTACAATGCATGTCAATACACGTGCCACTTCAAATTCATTTAATAAATACTCATACCCTTGCATGCATATACTTTCACAATACTGTTACTTTATCAATTTACAATACAATACACATAGTTATATCAAAATACTTGTAAATAATTTCACAAACAAACAAGTAAAAAGGTTACTCTAGTTACTTTTAACCATTGCTACTAAAGGTTATCAATCATACTAAGCTCTTAGGGGTGCAAATCTTCACGAGCAACTTCATAAGTGCTTAATCTACATAACACAGTGCTCCTCAGTCAATTTTCAACACATTTTATGAGCATTGATTAGGCTAAATCAAATCCCTTAACATATAAAACAATTCAATTGAACCCGTTTCAATTCACTTACCCATTATTTATGGTCATCAGTCCTATAGACTATCTAAATGACTATAACAATCTCCTAACACATTTATTCAATTAATTTCTTCCTTTAACCTAACTTTCTTAGGCCAAATAAGTTTAAATCTTCAAAGCTCAACCATTCAACTTCATATTAGTCACAAAACCTTAGTTTTGTATTCGATATTCTATTTTAACCCTTTCTTTTAGATTACAACACCTTAAAATCTCATGATTCAATTTCTCAACCAATGAAATTTAATGAAAAAGGGGTAGAATTGAAACTTGAGATTGCGTGATACTTATCCTATAAGTTATTAATCAAAGCAGACTCTCAAGCTCTAGATATCGGTTGCCCTAGTAGAGTTGAACGTCTCCACCCCTCCAGATGAGTTTTGCATACTTTCACTTTTGATTTCACTAGTTGATCACATTAGCTTTAAATGATTCCTAGACGGTGTGCTGCAGCACACACAGCTTTTGCCACTGCGCGTGGCACAGTGAGTTCAATCTCACTTGTGCTCTTTCTTTCTACCCTTCAATCTTATCAACACAACACCCAAACAATATGAAACATCAACTCAATACCCAAACCACAATTAATTCACTAATTACTAATTTATCCCTTATTAGCAACTAGTCCTTATTATTGAAATTCAGGTCTCCTTTAAGACTAATACCTTCAAGTTTCATAAACCTTAACCAACAACCTTATCCTCCTCAAATTCCATAGCCTAATGTGAAAGTCTAAATTTTACCTAGCAAATATAATGTTCCAACCTCAATCATTGCCTTCATGAACACTAGTTCTTACATAAGTGTCATGAAGCCCTATATTCTCCCTAAAGAAGAATAGGTCTCTCATAATGAATACTTTGTTACTGCTAATGAAAAACTTTTCAAAATATATCCTATTACCATAAGAAAGATTAGCATAAGATTCTTCCTTAAATGCATCATTTGGACAAAAATTCTTAGAAGTAATCTCCCTGCTAAAGACATCCTTATTGGTTTTGATGTGTATCGACTAACTAAGAACCTATAGATACTCCCCAAAGGAACTAGGTTCAAATAGTTTTTCAAAGAATACATTGATATTCCAAGCATTATGGAGATTCAGAAAGCTCCTTAGAGTTATGAACTAATCAGGGATCAATTACTTTAATTTTGCTATGAAAGTCATAATTAATTTTAGCATCCATCTTCTTTATGGAAGAATAAGGATTTTTTCATCAAGCTTTCTTTTAACAAAAGCATTCCATCCTAGGATGAATCCTAAAGACCTTGCACTGGCCAGAGAAGAATGTGCGGTCCAACTTAAACAAAGGCTCATTGAATCAACTAAATCAGATTGGGCTTGTCAAACCTTTTATATTGAAAAAAGGTCAAACAAACAATGAGGAAAAACAAAGGCTGGTGATTGACTACAAACCTTTTAATGCTTTTCCATAAGGTGATAAATTTTCTCTCACAAAAATTAATACTCAACTGGTCCATTGAAGCGGGCTAAGGTATTCTCAATGGGTGCAATTTAAAAAATATGCATATAACACTTACCTAATGTATTATAGTTTAAACCATGCAAAAAACTTTTAAAGGAGTACATATATATATATATATATATATATATTTGTCATAAGGTTGAAAGTTTCTAATTTTATTTTTCACTTGAACTCGTGTTTCACAAGTAATCACTTTTTAAAATTTTAAGAAAATTAAAATAAAAGACAAATAAGCTTGTTTAAAGAGTGATTTATTTGATTCCAGATTATCATTGAAGGGGTATCTTCAAAGACTGAGTTATGCTGATCCCAAAAAAAGGGGGGGATTGAGTTATGACAAACTTTTCAAATTAGTCGCGCCTTTTCAAAAGATTCATGAATTCTATCACCCTAAGGGAAAAAAAATTCATGAATTCTTTCAATATTTATAACCATACTATACCCTTTCAAGTGATTCATGAATCCTTTCAAAAGAATTCTCGAATCTGAATGTCTACATCCATTAATTTAAAATTTAATAATTAAATTGTAATTGAGCGAAATTAGTTATGATTAATTTAATATTTTTAAATAATATATGAAATGATAAAACGAATTCCTTCATAACTATAAACTAATATTTAAATAAAGAAATATTAAACCAAAAGATAAGAAAAATTATAAATATTTTATAATTTATGTCTTAACTTATTTGAATGAATAAAAATTTATTAAGTAGATTTCATCCACTTCATTTTTTTTAAGGGAAAGAATAACATAGAGATTTCATAAATATCAAATAACACTTGTTAATATTAATTTAAACTTATTTTCAAAATCAATTATCGTAAACCAACAGCCTCTGTTAGATTCGTCCAAGATGTTAAATTCATTTAAATCAATAATCAATAATTATCTTGAATTTCTAAAATTCACTTCAAGTTATTTTTGTCAGCTTGCACTATTTGGAAAGGATTGTCATTATTTTATATTTTTGAAGTTCATGCCCTTTTTCCAATGTGGTACATTAAATCTCCCAAATATTTCAAACTGCTCCAACTCTAAAAATAAAATGAAACTGTGAGTTGTGAAAAATGGTGTGAGGGCACATGTGCATTCTTTTCTAATTCTCAAAGTGAGCTTAATTTTAGCCCATACGATTCCTAGGCCCAAAACAGAAAAAAGGAAGAACAATTTAGGATCCAACCCAAGTTGCAAAAAGTAATCAATTCAGATTGTTTATTGTTTTAATATTTTTAATATGAATAAATTTAAATTTTGTAATTAATTATTATCAACCGAGTTGCCCTTCCAAGTCCAACCATAATTGAACCATGAGATGGTATTTGAAAAAAATAATTAAAAATTTTAAAATATTATTGTAAATTATAAAATACTTAATTTCGTGTTCTTAGTTATTAATTTTTTTTTCTTCAAATTCCGTTCACCGTTCTTAAAAAATCTTCACAATGAAAATATCTTTTCTTCTAAATTATTTAAATAACTTCAAGATTTTATAATTCCTTACATAAAATAATTTTTAACTACTGATTTTGAATTGCAAATTTTCCTTTAAGATATATATGCTAGGTTGTAATAGACATTCCATTACATCAATTATTTAAAATTTTTATTTTTATTCTGTGCAAATAAAAGGAAAGTTCATTTACTTATAATTACAACTAAAATATGGATTTTGTGCTTTTGCATAGAATCTCGCTTTCTAATAGATTTTATATTATACATAGATTGCTTGAACAATTCGCTTCATTGATTTTCCGTCATCCTATTTTCTACTGTTTAAATTTCAGCTGTACCAAAAATAAGTCACCTACATCAAACTTCAATGATGCAAATAAATTTTTCAAGAAGTAATTATAGACCCTTTCACATGGCGTTCACACTCTATAAGGATCCAATTATGCAGAGAAAAAGTCAGAAAGACTGATTTGTAGGGGAAAATTATTGTCCAAGTAGTACAATCTACAAAGCTCACCCTCTATCTCAGTCTCACCACCACATACTTCAAATTTGTTTACACTTTGACATTGCAGCCACACTACGTATTTCATGGACTGATGAATTTCTCTTTTCTTTTGCCACTCATCAATGGCTATATTGGAACTAGTTTAACCATCTTTAGTCACAACAACATCCGTCAGAGTACAAGGTGCTGCCTCTTCCAGCATCTGAACCACCGTTCTCATGGAAGGTCTTGAGTATGGAACCTTCACAGTGCAGAGTGTTGCAATTCTCAGAACCTTGATTGCATCATCTTTGAAATACGTTGGAATTGCGGGATCCACAAGTTCAACCATGTCTTCATTGGTCCTCTTGTTGCCACATACCCAATGGACTATGTCCTTGTTCTCCCCGAACTCTGGCTCATTTGGCTTCTTCCCCGTCACTAACTCCATTAGAACTACTCCGAAGCTGTACACATCACTCTTCTCAGTCACCTTACAAGTGTAGGCATACTCTGTCATTTCCAAAATCAAGACGATCAGTTTTCAAGCACAACAATCAGCAAATAAAGTTTAAAAGTTAATGCATTAAACAGTAATAATCAGTTTCCAAAATCATCCCGAGCTCAATCATTTCAATCACATAACAGTTCTTGTGAGGGGATTTCTTTGGTATCAATGTTCTCAAGCTAGGAAACTAATCAAAACAATGCACTAAGCTTCTTGTTTTTTTTTTTTTTATCTCAATTCTCAGCAACAAACCAGACCCTTATTTTCTTACTAGATATAAATTTTCTGCATTTAATCCCTAGAGGATGATGTGTATCTTTCACTATTCTTTTCTTTTTTTAAGCCCTTTCTTTTATTTTTTATTTTTTAATCTACAAGGAAATGAAAACCTTACCAGGAGCCATGTATCCAAGTGTTCCAGCAATAACATTTGTCCAATTGCCTCCCGCTCCTTGAACAATCTTGGCAAGCCCAAAGTCAGCAATCCTTGACTTCCATTCCCGATCAATTAAGATGTTACTTGATTTCACATCTCTATGTATAACTGGCCTATCACACCCATGATGCAAATACTCCAATCCTCTAGCAGCTCCCAATGCAATTTCATACCTAACCTCCCAACCCATATGAGTTTTCTTGCAATTGTGCAGCCTATCCCACAAGCTCCCATTTGGCAAGAACTCATAAACAAGAAGGCTACTATCTTCACTTGTGATGCTACAATAGAGCTTCACAACGTTTACATGCCTTATGGAGCTCAGTGTGGCCACCTCTGCATCATATTCCGTGGACCGGCGAGTCCTTTTCAGCATTGCTGAACTGCTACGGCCACTTCCTGGTTCACCCAGATTTGAAGTCCATATGTGTTTGACTGCCAATTCTTTGCCACATTTGAGAACAACCTTGTAAACGTTCCCGGACCCTCCTTTGCCAATCAGATTCTCTGCCTTGATCCCTTCAATGATTTCATTTTCATTGAAGTTTATCACATGGTACTGCTTCAAATCCCAGGAATTAGTCTTCAAAGGCTTCTTCTCAAACTTGTTCTGCTTTAGTTTCAGGAAGAATAAACATGCCAATGAAACGAGTAAAGCCATAACACCAGCAATCAAACAGAGTATAATGGTCCTAATTCGACTAGAACCAGTGCTATCCAATGAACATGGCCTAAAATTTTCCAAAGTCTCACTGCATAAGCCAGGATTCCCCTTTAACCCATCTGTAAATGCTGGAATAGAGAGTGAATCTGGTACCGGACCAAAAAAGTTGTTGTTTGATAAATCAAGAAGGCTCAGTTTAAGATATGACAAGCTCAATGGAATTTCACCAGAAAGTCCATTAGATGACAAGTTCAATGAATTGAGAGTAGGCAGAGAGCCAAGACTTGTAGGGATTCCCCCAGAAAGTGAGTTACCAGCAATGTTTATTTCACTAAGGGAAATACATGAACTTAAAGACTCTGGTATAGAGCCAGAAAAATTGTTTCCATCCAACTTAAGGCTACCCAATTTCTTCAAGTTTCCTATAGTATCTGGAATTTTACCAGAGAATTCATTTGAACTCAGCTTAATTGATACCAATGAAGAAGCTTCTGAGATTCCCAAGGGTAGCTCACCTGAGAACTTATTGTCAGATAAAAACAGTTGTGCAAGAGATTTTGCTTCAGCAATATCAGATGTCACTGGACCTTCAAAACGGTTAGTTGAAAGATCAATTATTTCCATATTTGGCAGGCCCCATAAACCTGAAGGAACACGACCAGAAAGCAAGTTTCTGTTAACAAGAAAACGAACCATAGCCGTACAATTCGCGTATGATTCTGGTATACTTCCAGTGAAGCTATTGTTTAACATAGCTAGCTCGGTCATGTTGTTCCTGCACATGTCAGGGGGTATAGGACCAGAGAGAGAGTTATCAGAAACATCAATATATTGTAATCCAGCCCATGATCCAAGCTTTTGAGGGAGAGGACCAGAGAAATTATTTGCATAAAGAGACAATTCAGTGAGGCTTTTGAAATCTCCAAACTCATTTGGAATTCCTCCAGAGAATTGATTCTGAAAAAGCTGAAGAGAAGCTAAGTTTCTCAAGAACCGTAGCTCAGAAATATCACCTTCAAGCTGATTATTAGAAAAATCCAAGGAGACAAGACTGGTGAGGTTACCAAATCCTATTGGGATTTTCCCAATCAAGTAGTTGTCATACATCTCAAGTTGTCTCAGCTTCTGAAGCTTTCCAATATCACCTGGGATTTCACCTGTCAAAAGATTATCAGAAAGCTCAAAATTCTCAAGCTGCGTCAGATTCCCAATACCCAACGGGATTTTCCCAGTGATACTGCAATTTGTGAGGTAAAGCCAATACAATTTATCAAGCTTTAACACCTCCATAGGAAAAGGACTTCTTTCAAATGTGTTATCGCCAAGGCTTAAGAATTCAAGACTAGTTAGATTTTCCAATGATTTCCATGGAAATAACCCAGAAATTCCACTAGCATTCAAGTTCAAGTACTGGAGCTTGTTCAAATTAGAGAAATCAGGCATTACCCCAGAAAACGAATTCCCGCCCAAATCCAAATACTTCAAATTACTGCACTTGCTCAGGTCTTCACTGATCCTTCCATGAAAGGAGTTCAACTCCAGAGATATTCTCTCTAACGACTGAAGTTCGCACAGTGAATCAAATCCGATAGTACCCACAAGATTTTTTCCGGCGAGATTGATTTCTGAGACGAAGCCATTGGAATTGCAGACAATCCCAGAGAACTTGCAAGGAGATTTGACGTCCGTCCAGGAACTGAAAACATCATCGGCATTTGAAGTTTGAACAGAGGACTTGAACTTCATGAGCATTTGAAACTCATCCGACAGGGACGAACCAGCCACAGCCAGGCAGAGAAAAAACAGAGAAAACACAATCATGGGTGAGGGACATTGCCCGGAAATTTCTCCGGCGAACATGCCGGCGGCGAAGGAAATAACAAAGAAGGGGTTGAATTTTGGTGGGGTTGGGGTGGGAATGAAAAGGAGTGAAGAGTGAGAGAGCGTGTGTGAACAAGAGCAAGATTTGGGATTTGTAAAGTCCACAACAAGAAGAAAGTAAACACAAAAAGGAATTGGAAATAGGAAAGGTTGAGATTGAAATGAAACGTGGAGAGGTTGAGAGAGGAAAGAAGAAGAATGAACCACGTGCTGTTGAGAAGAAGAAGGAAGGAAGAGTACGCAAGTTTAGCGAGCAATAGGCGGTGGTTGGCCTCTGAAGAGACACAGCGCATGGTCGTTTCGTTGGGAAGAGCAAGATTTGGTTAATCTAATGATTTATTATTTTTTGGGATTTGCATGATTTTCTATAGTTCTATTTTTATTTTTATTGTTTTTGTTGGGCAAGTTTCTATAGTTTGGCAACAGTTTTAGAGAAAATTACGGGGAAAGTTCTCAATGAGTTCAATATAAAAAACTTATTTACATTCAAGTCTCATGGTGAAAATACTTTCAAGTCTTATATTAATTTGTCATGTAAAATGACATAAATATTCTTATACTTACACTCCCTTTGATTGTAATTAATTATAAATATTAAAGTTTAATTTTTAAAAAACTTAATTTTAAATTTAAGAAGTTTAACTTGTAAATTTGCAAAATTTAATTTGTAAATATTAAAGTATTAATATTGTACTTCATTCGTTTAAAAATATAAAGTATTTTTAATTGATTCATACTCCTCAATAGAGTAGTTAGTTGACTCCTAACTAATATCATCTTTTTATTATTTATCTCTATTTGATAGAATATTTTTCTTTAAAATAAATAAAAAGTGACTTATTTATTAGGAACACTTTTAATAAAAGTATATTAATTTAATTATATATTGAAACAATAAAAATATTTTATATTTTTTAATATTCAAACTTTAAAAAAATATTTTATATTTTACAACGAATGAAGTAAGAAGTTGACTTGTAAAGGTAAGATTTTTTTACTCGTAAATTTTTAATATTTATCTCTTAATATATGATGTTTAACTTGCATATATTAACTTGTTAATATTTTAAAAAATTATTTCTAACCTATCAATTGGTGCCAGCTACCTGTTGATGATCATTGGTGGCCGGTTCATACCAGTCAACAGTAGCAAAAGGAATATGAGTGTGAGAAAATTTGAATCATTTTATATGAAAAAATAAATATAGCTAAGTCCATGAGACTTGATGGTGTTTTCATAAATTCTTGAAATTTAATTGTAAACAATTTTTTTATGTGACTCATTTATAATTTTCTCAAAAATATTTGGAAAAAATAACTTTTTCTTTTTATAAGAAATACAATGATACTCCCTCTAGTTTTATTATTTTTAAGGTTAAAACTTAAAAGGTGAATTTTTTTATTTTAATTATAAGCCATGTCATTAATTTTTGTCCCATTAAATGTTGCTATACATTAACGAAAAGTCACTTGAACTTCTATTTCATTCTTTCATAAATAGAAGCAAATTTATAAATTTAATATATTAAAATTTTTAAATATATTTAATAAATTTTAAGTTTTTTTTAAAGTTCTATTAAAATTGATTAGAAATTGATTATTAATAGGGCTGGAAGAATATAAATAATTGCATTTTATTTATCTCACCATTATTAAGAAAAATTAGTTAACTCATTCAAATGGTTTCAAAATTAAATAATTCATATTTACCCCCTAATTAAAATGTATCATTCATTTTAAAGAAATACATGAATGACAAACCTTGAAAATATGCAAGGGAATTTATGAGGAAAACACATTAAATACTTTAAAAATTCATACAAAATGACCAATACTTAGAATCACAAGTGATGGTAAAAAAAAAATAATTGGTTTGCAAGTTTTTGAACGTGATTTATATCACGGAATGGAGGGAATGTATTTTAAATTTTTTGTTAAAAACATTAAATGTCATTCTATCAAAAAATATTAAATATCATAATTCATATTTAGAAAATTTTATGAACTTTGAAATTATTTAAAGTGCCATTAAAATTATTTAAAGTGTAACTTTTTCAATATTTTTTTAATGGTTTAACATGTCATCTTCATAAGATCATCTTAGAAATTATCCCATATGACATCCATATGCCAAATGAGTTCAAAAAGTCGTTACATTTTTTTTTTTACTTTTTTCAAGTTAAAACTTATTAGAATTAGATCTGTGATTTCCAACTCATTACACCTTGTAATTTTAATTCACATTAATTAGTTAATTATATTCTAAAGTTTTGTAATTGTTATATGTTTCTTAAATTCTATTTATCGACTTAACTTGGATGATTAATAAAAGCTTAGATAACTTACTTGGATAGGTAAATATTTAGTTAAGTTGCACACACATTATATTTATTTATTTTGATTTGAATATTAATCTGTATCAATTTAAAAATAAAAATAATGGAAAATCCACATTTATATATAATTATAAAAATTTATAATATACTAATATGTGTGTGATTATTATTATTATTATTATTATTATTATTATTTATGAGACACTCAAAAATACAACTTTCTACATTCCATATTGGTAGGGTTGTTCATGGGATAGGATTGAGACATTCCTATCCCATATCTCATGTCTCATCTTGAAAAAAAAAAAAACTAGGACCAAATTTTTGTCCCTCCCATCCTAAAAGTCATTCCGTCCCATTAGAAATTAGGATGGGGCTAGGACAAGATCGGAATGTCCTGATAAATTAGACAATATCAAAGAAATATCTAAATAATAACATTTATTAAAATTTTAAATTATATAATTTATTAAATTTAAAATTAAAATAACATAAGTACATAAATCACAACAATTTAAAGTCAATTATTGAATTACATTAATCACAACCACATATTATAATAACAATTAAAAGTGATCTCTAGACTATAAGAGCAGCAACAATAGGCAAGTCCAATACAATATCAAATCATTATTCTTCTACTTTAATTGAGATGTGCTAAGCTAATTACACTTCTGAAAATAAAACAAGAAATACGATCTAAATAAAAATTAAATAGATAGATATAAAATTAAATTATATTAATATAATTAATATATTTTAAAAAAAGATATCACCTTGTTACTCTATGTTATTAAAATTATTAATATAAAACACTTTAGTTTTAAATAAGAATTGTATGTATTGAAATTATAATTGATATAATTAAAATAAATATAAAAATCATATTAATATATTTAATATATATTTTAAAATAAAAAATAATATATATATATATATATATATAAAATATTCAAGGTGAAACAGGACGTCTCAATAGTAATCTCGCGTTTTATCCCATCTCAAACCCCTTTTATGTGTTATTTTATAAAGTCTTGTCTCGACTATTTTTTAGCTGAAATGAGATGTATTTTGATATAATTAGGATGATACCTAACCAATCAAAATAAATAGAAGCTGAATACCTCCATTATTTGTGGGTTCTGGCCATTTTACTGCACCCCAACCCCACATCGTGTGGTTGCTCTCTATTTGATTGACTCTGGAGGGAGTAACAGGGACGGTACGATTCATTACAAAAGCGCTAGTCGTTTACTTTTTAAAATGGGAATGCGTGACTAAGTCGTTTCCTCCGGCCGCCCCAGTTAATTGACTACAAAGAAAACGACATGCAGAATTGCTTTTAAAATAAAAAATAACAAAGAAAACGACATTCAAGAATCTCACTTTCACGGGTGCTGCCACGTAGCCGCGTCCCCCGGCTGATATCTCAAAAAGCACAATAAAATAATATTCTCCTTCCGTTCTATCTATAAAGTAAAGAGGTAAAATTATTTTTTTTTACCACCAGAAAAAATACATTATTAAAAATAAAATTAAAAATTTATTAACTTTTTATGTAAAATGAATAAATTTTTAATAACTGGAAGTATAGGACAAGAAGTATACAACAGGATTTAACCTGATTTTAAATAAAGAAAATTTTAATAAAATTAATTTAACTTATATTCAGCATAAAAATGTAGAAAGTTGTTGTATTTATAATTTACAAATTATTAGTGGCGTGTCTCTTTTTAAAATTCATGCGCATATAATATAAAAAATGTAATACCTCTATTAAAAAATATAAGTTATTTTTTAATAAATTAGATATTAAAAAATATTAGATATTTTTAGTCTTTTGAGATATAATTATTGCTTTTTTTTAGAAGTGCCCCTATTGATAACAGCTTTATATTTATTATAGGATATTTAATATGGGTAAATATAAAAAGATAAAGTTAGTTTAAAAGCAGGTAACTATTTTATTAAAAAATGAGATTCGATTAAAAATACCTTATATTTTTGAACGGACAGAGTGTGCATGTGTGTATGCATGTGAAATTACTCTAATTTGTCATTGAATTAGGAAGATTTTCGTAACTCATTCTTTTAATAAATATTAATCTGAAGTTCAAAATCTGAAATGAATGTTAAATTAAATTATGTTGAGGACAGGATCAGGTGGCTTCACCGTCAGTAAGAACATCATTTAATGCTAATGCTAATGCTAATATTGATGATGATGATGATGACGATGATGATAAATAATGTAGCTATTGTATTATAATAACTCCTGGAAAAAGTAAATTAACTAAGCGATATTAATTTTATTTTGAATTTTTTATAACATTAAATGGGTGAAGTCTAAAAAAATAAAACAAAAATTGAAAAAAAAAAGAAAATAAAGAAAGGGTGTGTACAATCAAGAGCAAGGGAGAAAATGAAAACTTAATATTAATATTGATTATGTTATCAAAAAAATATTAATATTGATTATATTAATTCCACTTAAATTAAAATAAAATTTAAGATTAACAATAATAATTTTTAGGGGTACACAGTAGTAGCAGTAGTCAAATGTAACAATTGTAATTAGAATGAATCATGACCGTGTAAGTATAAGATGTTGAGTTTGAGTTTGTGTAATAAAATAGATTTTTGAAAGAGTGACTTTCAATTAAACTCAATAATATTTAAATTTGCCCTGTCAAATAACTATATAGAAAAATAATAATAACAAAAAAAAATACTAGAATAGTGATGTGTGTTAGTAACAGGTGCATCTTCAAAGTTCATCACCTTCAGTGGTGCTCATCAGGGTGATAGATATCTGAATCATTCATATTTTAATATAAAATATTTTTTAAAGAGTT